TACGTCAAAGATTTACAAGTTTGCTTATTCCATATTCATATACAGATTCGAGATTTATTCTTATACCGGAAGGATATTCATATACAGATTCGAGATTTATTCTTATACCGAAAGGATATTCATATACAGATTCGAGATTTATTCTTATACCGGAAGGATATTCATATACAGATTCGAGATTTATTCTTATACCGGAAGGATATTCATATACAGATTCGAGATTTATTCTTATCCCGAAAGGATATTCATATACAGATTCGAGATTTATTCTTATACCGGATGGATATTCATATACAGATTTGAGATTTATTCTTATACCGGATGGATATTCATATACAGATTTGAGATTTATTCTTACACTGTTGCTCATAACGGTGGAATATTTTTTTTTATCCCAATTTATGGAATTATTTTAAAAATAATTTAAAAATACTAGATCTAGATAATAGTATACAGTCTCAGATTTTATTGAATAATAATTTGCCAATATGTGTTTTGCGTGACTGCTAAAGCATGTATATTATGCTACTATGTTTATCAACTAGGGGACCTATGCCCTTAAGTCATAAATGACAGTAATGAGGATTAATGCCTCACAAAAGGGCTCTGATATAGCACATCGACACGGTGTTGATCCTGGGGCCTCACAGTTACGAGGCCATTGCTTTGTCACTGAACCATGACTGTACGCAGCGGGGGCTAGGGTAGGGGGCAGTTTCCATAAATTTAAAAAAAAACAGAAAATGCAATAAATATTCAATAATTTATTGCATTCTACCCCGGTCCCCAACATAAAAAAATCCTCTGGACGGCCATTTATTATGGCTCAAGGCATGGGCACACAGAAGATTTTTTTATGTTGGGGACCGGGTAGAATGCAATAAATTATTGAAAATTTATTGCATTTTCTGTTTTTTTTTTAATTTATGGAAACTGCCCCTACCATAGCCCCCGCTGCGTACAGTCATGGTTCAGTGACAAAGCAATGGCCTCGTAACTGTGAGGCCCCAGGATCAACACCGTGTCGATGTGCTATATTAGTGCCCTTTTGTGAGGCATTAATCCTCATTACTGTCATTTATGACTTAAGGGCATAGGTCCCCTAGTTAATAAACATAGTAGCATAATATACATGCTTTAGCAGTCACGCAAAACACATATTGGCAAATTATTATTCAATAAAATCTGAGACTGTATACTATTATCTAGATCTAGTATTTTTAAATTATTTTTTAAAATAATTCCATAAATTGGGATAAAAAAAAATATTCCACCGTTATGAGCAACAGTGTATACCGGATGGATATTCATATACAGATTTGGGATTTATTCTTATACCGGATGGATATTCATATACAGAATCGAGATTTATTCTTATACCGGATGGATATTCATATTGATTGGTGATTCTGAATAGGGACATAAGCATCTGATGATCATTACATTATATCATACTCCATAATCTATTTCTTGTTTCGCTGCGAAAGTAATGCTTTCTGATGCCAACCCCCTTGCTGTCATGACTGTGGATGATGGCAAGATCCTTGTCTCTACCATGCGTCATCAATCAAGCGGGAAATTACACGAATATATATTGACTTGTTACTTTCATTATTTTGGAGCGAGAAGCAAAATGAGATACATAATATTATGTTTACATAATATTCAAATCATTAAGACAGTACAAATTTACGTTTAATATAAATAAATAGACCAGATTCATAGAACAATGATGTTGATTTTGCACACTTCACGTCTTACATGATGTATGAATTGACACAGATACGTTTATCGGTATTTCAAGTACATCCTATGGATAATACATTATATTCTCCAGGGTCTCCCTGCCGATTTACTGATAAAGAGTCTTTATACATATAACTGCAATTAAAACCTGCGTCTTATAGGCGTCATTTGTATTTGTTTCTTGAATGTTTGTGCTCAAAGTGTAAAAGTAAAAATGTAATGTAATAAACTGTGAAATTTTGTGTTTGATTTTCTAGATATTGGATCGCATCGGTGAAGCTCGTGTATTGTACATGAACATGTTAACATCTTCTTTAGATGTAGAATTGGTATTCATATTCAATATGGTTTGATGCTTTCGTCGATGGTTTGAATTCAAATTGGATCATCTATTTTGCCTTGTAAATTGTATGGACGTACGATGCATACATGATATGATGATTCATACTCCCGTGTGTATGTCATACTTAATCCTGAGAAAGCAATATTTTTTTACTTTCTCAGACAGCGCTTATGATATCACGTTAACCAATTGGTGGTCACTGTGAAAATCACCATGCGAGATATGGGTGCAATTCTACTAAATCTATAAGATTGCCCTTGCCACCCTTAACAAAATGGTTCTCATTAAAATTTATATACTTTATTAGTAAGTTATATGACGTAAATTTTATATATCCACAGTAGCAGTTACCCCATTACAACTCTAAAAATATCAGACTTTTGTTAAAGTTATTTCATTGTGTTTTAACGACTTTTCTACTCCTCAAAGCTACAGTTGTTTGCAACTATGATCGCGTTCTGAGAAAAGCTTCTTTGGGGCCAGCAAACTTATCATAAAAGGGATTGGTTAATGTCTCGTTAATATTCGTTGCTCTACAGATTACATGGGGGAATTCCCCTTAATGGCATATTCACATTTGTAATGGTTCTCGAAGCATAGCCCACTTATCCTATTATGATATAAACCCGTGAGCAGAAGAAGATGAAATATGTATTTATTCACTCGGGCAGATTTTGAGATCAAGTTACATTCATTCTGATCGGTTACGCATCGGTCTTTATTTCATTAAAATATAGGGTCCTACTGGTTCGTCAACATCCTGGTACCTGAATACCTAAAGTGACTCGGTAAAATTGTCTCAGATATTGAAACAAAATCCTGGATTTAGCTCATGCTGCAATGATAATTATAAACCTTTAGGTCAGTCAGGAATTCCATGAATGTTACAAGCCGATCGCCTGTCTGATTATCAAGATATTTATGATTGGAAATCGAAATCAAATTTTCCGTTTTCCTAACGGTTTTTATAACACTATTGGGAAAATGAGTACGGTAAAACCGGTCACTCAAAGATTATTACTTTTTTGAGGCACTTCATGATCATTTTTAAGCGTATTTTTGTTTAGGGCTTCAATATTACACCATATCACAGACAATGATAACACGTAGGGCCATGCATCTCAGATCTAACATTGTTAAACGATGCCTTTAAGTGTCGCGGTGAGGAAATTTCACTTTTACGTAATAAAGAAATCACTTCTGTAATTGTGATTTTATATGTGCTGGTGGGTATATTTTTAATCACACACGAATGGGTATGCTTACTCCATTCGCAATGTCGGTTCAAGAGGGCACGGGATTATGCACAGCCGGCAAATCCCAATCTGACATACACTTTAAACATTACCCCAGCAATTGCCAGCTACCCGGAGTGGCAAATGTGGATTTATGTCTTGCCAAAAGACTCCCAATTCCGGCATTAAATTCGAACCCTCGACCTTTCGATTGAGAGTCAAGTGAATGGCTTGATTTGAATGGATGTGTTATTAATGCTTCTTTTTTTAGCTCCAACCCTTCCTGGCCAGAGAATCCTAGATTCGCCATTGTAACGTGTTCTGGATAAAAAGGTGTTTTATTTTTTTCTCTCACTGATTGAAGATGTATCAAATAACTTTAAATCATTTAGAAGTACGATCGCAACGATTTTTGAAAAAGTAAAATGAAGCAATTTTAATAGGCTTGTCCAACACCTTTTCAAAAGTCATCACATCCCTCTTTCATCATACAAAAAGAGACGTTTTAAATAATCGACCCCCCCCCCCATTCCTTTGAATTATCACTCGTTTGAGAAGAAATGGAGAGGTTTGTTAAAGGGCTCTACTCGTATACATAATAAAGTGAAAAGCCGATGCATGCATAATTTTAGGGGCTATATTCTTCGATTTTTTTTTTCTTCTTCTGTCGTATGGCGCAACCTGTCGGAAGAAAGTAATTTCCCAAACGACGTTGTGTTCTACGAGGCGAAAAATAGCCATGTGAATCAAAGGGGTGGAAAGCAATAGGTTCCACACTGGGGTGATTGAATCAACGCCTGTTTTCCAACTTTAAAGGGATCGTTTAACAATGTTAAATCTAAGATGCACGGCCCTACGTGTTTTCAGTGTATGTGATATAGTGTAATATTGAAGCCCTAAACAAAATTGCGCTTCGAAATGATCAAGAAGTGCTTCAAACAAGTAAAAATCTTTGAGTGACCGGTTTCACCATACTCGATTTTCCCCAAAAGACTGTACTGAGTATTATGAAAACCGTTAGGCAAACGCAAAATCTGGTTTCGATTTCCAATCATAAATATCTTGATAATCAGACAGGTGATCGGCTTGTAAAAGTCTTGGGGTTCCTGACTGACCTAAAGGTTTATAATTAACATTGCAGCATGAGCTAAATCCAGGTTTTTGTTTCAGAATGTGAGACAAAGTTACCGGATGCCTTTAAAAGGCCTCAGTTGGATTCGCTAGAGTTATGATAATAATCGTGATAATATTATTCTTGGCGATATCTACAAACTTCTAAATTCAATTTTCAATTCAATTAGCAATATTTCCTCTGACAATCAAAAAGAACATAACATTAAATTAAATAAACAATGTAGGAAGTAGGCGAGATAAGAAAATAGGTGCCCCTTTTCGAATTGTGGATAAGTGCAACTTCTCTATAGTCAATTGATATGAATCCATAGCTGATTGCAGTTGTAGTATTGTAGGCCTAAATGGAAAACTTAATGTTACTTGGATGTCAGTAAAGTGTCATATTGATAGATTCGAATCAGAGACTTTAATTAGAAATTATTTTATATAAAAAAAATTAAATAGATATCTGACGCCGTCTTCTATGTCATGCGGAGACCTACATTAGTTTAATTGTAGTTATGAAATGTTAAAAGATATATTTTTAATGGTATAAAACTTACCTCGTGAACAACATCGCTTCCACTGTATGTTCTACTTAGGTTGTATAATCGCCTTCCTAATTCATCAGCCCACGAGACCACACTAAGGAATCAAGAAAGAAAAAGGGGAAAAAAGACAAATTAGTTATACTTCTAATTATACTTGTAATTTTGTTCTCTTCCTAATGAAAAAGTCGAATCTATTTCAAATTCCGATCATATCCAGATTCTATCCCTTTGCTTACTTTCCTCCTACCCTTCATGAAAACCTTGAATAAACACCCTCCCCGACATGCCCGTCTAATTGTATGAGACAGGCATGGTGTAACAATAACAACATTATTTTCTGATTAAATATTACAATTGTGTAACTGCATCACGTGACAAATTAACCTATTTGACCGAATTCTATAATAATGATAATAAAACTCTGCTTCGATATTCAATTATATTTCGTCACAAAGTCATGTGCAATTCTCTCCAATATTCTCCTACACAACAAGTATAACCGGGTTTCGTGAAATGTATGCTACTTCTGACAATACTGCCATGGCATCCTGTCTTCTATTTGCACAGCAATTTGTTCAACGCACTTATAATTTTTAAAAAATGAAAGGTAATACATCCTCAATAAAAGTATTTCTCATAAGCATGATAGGTTTAAGGAAGAAAAAAACGAGTGATCGAGTGTTATGTTAGTGATAAGTATATACATGATGTATAAACATGAATATACATAATATTTTGTTTTAAATACCATCATTTGTATCTTAATGACAAGCATGACTTTAATATGTCTTTGTCTGGATTAGCCGACAATGTGACGAAGGATTCCTACCAGTAGAAAATCATTTTGACACGCCATAATCATTATTTGGAAGCATGATTTTATGTTTCATGTTCGGCGAAGGATAATCACTACAAAGTTTCTTTCAAAAACGTAGGATAATGAGACACTAAACTAATGAAATGAGACCGTATTTTGTTTCACTAGTTTTGAAAGGGACATTCAATGTAAAGCAAAATCAAAAGAATACAAAATGATCTGAGTTTTATTTTTAACAAAAAAAAAGGGGGAATGGTAAAGTTAAATGACAATTATGTAGATGATAAAGTCGTGATGGTGCCTGTAAGTCATCATGACCCCCCTCTCACTTGACAGGTTAAAATGCTTCTACAATGCAGAAAATTACCAGCAGGGGCAGATCCAGCCGGCGGCGAGGGGGGGGGGGGGGGGGACAATTCGTGAGAAAATGTTTGTATACATATATATTTGTTTCAGTTATCAATTATATCTCTCAGCTGGTCCACAGCAACGGGTTCACACAAAAAGTTATTTTGACACGTTCATTTTTTTTTATATCGATTTAGATTTACAATCAATCGTCATAAACACGTCAACCCATTTCCAGCGTGTGGTGAAAGTGTCACTTTAGACTTTCAATGGATTCGAGCGTTTTGTTTAAAAACACACGTTTACTGCAAAATCCGAGCAGGAGCCTATATTGTTTATTTTCAATCACGCGCGCATACCAATTCATTCCGGTGATTCCTCCATTATTCGCATTGCCTCGCAATCCTTAAATCGGAAAATGGCACCCAAGAATTTAAGCAGTTGAATGTGGTAATGGAAAGCGTATTGATACCATCTCTCAATATTTTCTTATATTCTTTAATGCATGAATTTTCATGAAATAAAGAAATAATTACAGCAAAAAAATTAGGATTTGTGTTTTTACTTCAAAACGAAGCCTTTAAGCGATTCGTAGAAATAGTATTACGATGTTTTAAGATTGTGTTCATTTTGGGATATACAACCCTATTTTATATCTTGTCTGTGTTTTTTTGTGTGTCTCGCCTACGAGAAAACAAAAATAAAGAAACTGTAATGTACTGATTCTTATTTGTTGGAGGAAATTACAACAGTTTGTTGAATTTTCTCATTTATGTATAACTGCCTTTCAAAAATATAGAAAAAGGCACGTAATTTCTGAGTTTCTAGATCTATAGGATTCTCAAGCTTCTTCCTTGACGCGGTCCAGATGTGATTTCTATGAAAGCTATAAGGTCCGAAACATGGGATGCCATTCGCCTGAAAATTGTCATGGTATATCGTATACTTCAACCAGGCGCGGATCCAGGATTTCTTAGGGGGGGGGGGGCCCAAATTTCAAATTATGCGAGCCAAATATTGGTACGTAATGGTGACCAACAGTGACGTAATGTGGGGGGGGGGGTCGGTGCAAACGCGAAACGCGGAAGCTTTGACGTTTTATTAAATTATTAGAGAAAGAAGACGATTCGTTGTAGAGTTCTTGACTCTTAATCCTTGTCTAAATTCAGCCCCCCCCCCTCCCCCTCCTGCGCGAAGCACGGAAGCTTTGACGTTTCATTAAACTATTGAAGAAAGAAGACGATTCGTTGTACCGTTCTTGACTCTTAATCCTCGTATGAATTAAGTTTTTCCCCTCCCGCGCGAAGCGCGGAAAATTTTACGATTTATTAAATTATTAGAGAAAGAAGACGATTCGTTGTAAAGTTCTCGACTCTTAATCCTCGTCTAAATTCAGTCACCCCTCTCCCTCCTGCGCGAAGCGCGGAAGCTTTGACGTTTCATTAAACTATTACAGAAAGAAGACGATTCGTTGTAGAGTTCTCGACTCTTAATCCTTGTCTGAATTCAGGTCCCCCCCTCTCCTCCCGTGCCAAGCGCGGAAGCTTTTAAGTTTCATAAGATTGTGAGAGAAAGAAGACGATTGGCTGTACAGTTCTCGACTCTTAATCCTCGTCCGAATTCAGGTCTCCCCCCCCCCCTCCCGCGCGAAGCGCGGAAGTTTTTAAGTTTCATAAGATTATGAGAGAAAGAGGACGATTGGCTGTAAAGTTGTCGACTCTAAATCCTCGTCTGAATTCAGGTTCCCCCCTCCCGCGCGAAGCGCGGAAGCTTTTAATTTTCATTAAATCATTAGAGAAAGAAGACGATTCGTTGTACCGTTCTCGAAAATAATCCTCGTCGGAATTTAGTTTTCCCCCCATCCCGCGCAAAGCGCGGAAGCTTTTACGTTTCATTAAATCATTAAAGATTCGTATTACCGTTCTCGCCTCTGAATCCTCGTCTGAATCAGGTTCCCCCTCCCGCGCAAGATTATGAGAGAAAGAAGACGATTCGCTGTACCGTTCTCTATACTCTTAATCCTTGTCTGAATTTTAAAGAAGTTCTTTGTCTACTACTTTTTCTTCCTACGTCCTCTTCCGATTTTGGGGGGGGGGGACCGCGGTCAGATAAGCATTCAGGGGCCCGCCTTAGGGCCCCTGGTGGGGTCGAGGCGGCGGAGCCGGCCCCGGAAAATTAGGGGTTTTAGGCGTTTAATTAAGGTCAGATGAGCATTTTTTTTTAATACCTATTATTTTGTGACACTGGAAGGTCACTATTTGGCGTAGGGTCCAGGGGGCGGAGCCCTCCAAAAGAGGGGTTTTAGGCATTAAATTACCGTCAGATGAGCATCTAAGGGCCCGCCGTAGGGCCCTAGGTGGAATCCAGGGGGCAGAGCCCCCGAAAGCTTTGGGGTTTTAGGCATTTAATCACGGTCAGATGAGCAATCAGTATCAGTACGCCAGTATCTCCTCTTTTCCTTTTTTCTTTCCCTTTCCTTCCTTCTCTCTTATTTTTTTGATTGGGGGGGGGGGGGGGGGTCAACAGCTTTGGAGGCAAGGCCCTTTCGGCTCCCCGATCTCCTTCCCCCCTTTTCTTTTCTTCTTCCTCTTCTTTCTTTCCCTTCCTCTCCCCTTTCCCTTTCCCTTCTTTTCCTTTTTTCTCTCTTTTTTTTTTTTTTTTTTTTTTGCGGGGGGGGGGGCAAGGCCCGCTCGGCCCCCCCCCCTGGATCCGCGCCTGACTTCAACTATATTTCAACTTCAATGATGATTACTGCAAAGCCGGGCACGACTCAATTATTACTCAATTTTGTTTTAGACAATCTCCTTCTTAATTTTACAGTAATTACACGTGTATACTGAAGAAAATGAGGCTCATTTAAGGTCTATATCTGATCCAAAAAAACTGCCACGATTAAAAAAACAGAGCTGTCAGCGCTTCCACTTGTTTAAAAAGAGTTTCCTGAAAAAGAGCACCCAATTTCCTGGAATTTAATGGAATTTTTAAAAACTTTTTTTTAAAGCCTTCAGGGCCAGTGCTTGCTATCGTTAAAATAGAGTTTCCTGAAAAAGAGCATCGAAGCTCTTTAAATTTGATGTATTATTTTGTTTAACTTTCAAAATGCCTCTTACGTGGATTTTTTAGTTTGATGAATTCCTGAAGGGAGACAACGTCATACGACATGTCGCACAGTACCAGATAATTTTTAACTTTGACATCTAAATTTTGCGAGCGAGCAAAAAGTTATACTTAATTCAGAGGCCGGGTAAAACTATACATTTCTCAGTGGCAGATCCAGGATTTTTTGAGGCCAAACGTGTTTGCGAAGCACACTTTAATTATTACTTAAAGCTTATCAACACTAGTGTGGCTAGGAGGGATTAGACCACACAGCGAGGTCACTGACAGGTGGCTATCTCATCAACTCAGCTCTCAAATAACGTAAGAAATAGAGGATCATGGGGGACCAACAGCACCGATTGGGGAAGTTTTCTATATAGAGGGAGCAAGTAGCTACAAGTAAGACAATGGGGCTTTAAATCACCCTCATAACAAGAGGAGAAAGGTGATAGAAGCTTTTAAAGTTTGTTTTATGGTGAAAATGACCGATATCATTGAGTCAATATTCTTTACCAACTTCGTCATGTATACAGGCGACCGAATGACTGACTTGATTTTAAGAAAGTGAACCGTACATCTACATCGTAAATTGCTTCTTCATTTGAACCATCTTCTCGAAAACCATGATGAGGAGCCTTAATGATCAAGATGAAAATGAGAATAGATGTTACGGGTATAAAGCAGCACAAGAATCTACGTTCAAATACTTAAAGAAAAACTCCACATCATTCTGTGTCTTTTTATTTTTATTTTATTTTAAATCACGTCCTTGCCTCTTTCAGTGGAAAGCCATTAGTGTGTTATTGAGGAATAGGAAATAAAGAATTAGA